CAGGCTGCGGAAATATTTATTTGGTGAGTTTCAATTATTATTAAAACATGTATAAATCGTTATCTTCTACCTTTGTTTACATTACAGCACGAAGTACGGAGTTTTTGAGGCGAAGTGTCAACGTGTCAATGGACGACACCGAATGGCTAGGGCTTCAGAGTATCCCATCATCCACAATTAGGGGATATCTTTCTGAAGCGGACAGCTGCAATGCGGTAGTTGACGTAGATGAAATGGATGATGATATGGACCAATACCATGAAGACGCGGTTGGGCATCTGGGTGGTTACATCATTCGAAAACTCCACCTCGACGGTCTTCGGTCCCAAGACCAAACATTTACACGGGTGGACGAATTATCGTCGAAAAGTTAAAGGTGTTGGAAAAAATATTTCATGACGTGAATGGGGCCAAAATATATTGTGGCAGAGGTCATGGCAACGATACTTAAAAAATCCGAGCTGGTTGATTTGCCAGAAACAGTAAAGAAAAATTTTTCACATGCAGGATGTATTTCCGCATAAAATTTTTAAACACAAACGACGTAGTAATTATAATTAAAAATCATATATGTACATATTTAGCTGTAATAAATTTTTGCCAAAGAAATTGTAAAATGGACCATAGTGCAGTTGGAAATCGCATTTATCTATTATCAATACATTTCAATGCATTATTAATTCGAAAAACATGAGCTATTAATAAACATCTAAAACTGAAAAATATGCACTTAAAACATTCAATATAACTGAAAATATTCAGCGATAAATGGGTGTTGTTGTTGTAACAGCATACAAATTCCCCAAAGAGATTTTGGGGAGTGTTGCTGGAGTGACAGTCCTTGGCCAGATATAAATCTGGGTCGTTCCGGTTACGTAGACCCGACTGTCGTGGGAACGAGCGATAAATGGTGGTTGTCTTTTGTTCATCAAGTTCCCTTTTAGCTTTCAATTCTCGCCTGAAGCATTATTTCCAAGCCGATAAGAGGGAATATAAAATGGATAAGTAGGGATCAACACATACCAAAACGTGTTTGATTCCAAAAGTTGTTTAGTGCTTTACCAAATTATAAATAAATGTTTAAATAATAATAAATAATGTTTAATAAAAATTATCGCATGCCGCCCTAATGTATAATAATTACTTTTCTATGTTTTATTAATTTAATAATAATTAATTACTGATTTATTGTCACCCCAGTACTACGATTTTAATAAAGTAGTAAGGGGAATACATGACCGGAGTTTGAGGGTCGACCAATAGTACAAAAACATTTTCTGATGTCACCTTGTTTTTATTTCAACATGATCAGTGAAAATTTAATTTTTTCACTTTATCTTTTCGTTATATCATTTTAAGCGATTCTCGATCATTAAAGGCTAACATCTAGCAAGTAATTATTTGGTAAATTATTGTGAGTTTAAGACAATTTGGCTTCAGGAAAAACATGGAACAATCGAGCAAGTAAATCGCATAACAACCGAAATCCGAACGTTTGAAAAGAGGGAATATTGCGCTGCAATATTTGTTGACGTCGCCCAGCCATTTGATTGCGTCTGGCTAGACGGTCTTATGTATAAAATACAGATGCTACTCCCACAAAGCACACACAAACTGCTTAAGGCATACTTTTATAATCGAAAGTTTGCAGTTCGATGTTACACCACCATCTCTGAAGCCCATGCAATCGAAGCTGGAGTGCCACAAGGCAGTGTCCTTGGCCCGATGCTGTATGTCTTATACACCGCGGATATTCCTACAAACGACCGCCTGATAGTGTCCACTTTTGCCGATGACACTGCCATAATCAGTCGCTCCAGGTGTCCTCTACAAGCAACTGCGCTCCTAGGCAATCATATGGAAGCTGTTGCCAATTGAGTCGCAAACTGGCGAATAAAGGTTAACGAGCCAAAATGTAAGCAAGTTACATTTACACTGAATAAGAGTAACTGTCCGTCCTTGTCTTTGAACAACGTACAAATACCACAAAGCAATCATGTCACTTACCTAGGAGAGGCGAGTTACTTGGCGAAACCACATACTGGCTAAAAGGACCTATGGATGTGAGTTATGGGTAAACTCAAGCAGCGGCAACATCGAAATCCTTCGTCATGCGCAATGTAAAATGAGAACATTCACCGCGACCTGAGAATACTATAAGTACAAACCGAAATAGAACAACAGAAGACGAAATATGTATCGAAGCTTTTAGTGCACCCAAATCATTTAGCAAGATCTTTATTGCGTGTCAACAGGACCTCAAGACTACGTAGGAATTTGTATGCTGCTACAATAACAACCGTAACAACGTAACCGGAACGACCCAGATTTATATCTGGCCAAGGACTGTCACTCCAGCAACACTCCCCAAAAAGTCTTTGGGGAATTTGTATGCTGCTACAACAACAACAGCTACGTAGGAATGACTTACCAGCCCAGTCGTAATCTTTTCTTAGGGCCAGTTAAGAAAATACTCATCCCAACTAGGGGATGTAAACTAAGTGAATAGATTAAGATTCGAAAACTTATTGTTAGGCTCTTAGGCAGGACATATTCAATAAATAAAAATTAAAAGTTAAAAAAGAGAGAATGATATTCTTCGATGGGTTTGAAAAACACGCCCAACTTTTCTTTTTCACAGCCACAAAACTTTGTGAAAAAAAGTTGTCAGAGTGAAAAAATTTTGACAAATTAATTTTTTTATATTTGAAAACAGAATCATATTTTTGTGTGAAGCGATGAAAAATGTTTTCACAGAACAGGAACTGGCCCCCAGAATTAAAAGAAAAAATATAAAGCAGTTTTATAGTTCATTAAATTTTAGTATAATAGAGTACAAATGAATAAACGAAAGAATAAATAAAATAAAATAAAACCTTTTTAATAAACAACGCTTTTATAAATGGGCTAAAAAGTAGAAAATAATAATTCTCAGTCCAATAGAATTTGTTTTAATAACTTTTGATTTTGAAATTTTAGCACAAGTCATTATAAACCACTTATGAGATTGAAAATGAAAAGCATGGGGCGCATGCAATACGAAGCATTAGATTTAATTGACAATAGTCAAACTACATAACATAGACCTTAAATTTCTACAGAGAAAGTACAAATTTGAGATCGATTTTAAGTGGTCGTTGTTCAAATATCCACATACATACATATATTACCCTTCATATCACTTCTGGTCTATTACATGCGCCCCACGCTTTTCATTTTCAATCTCATAAATTGTTTATAATGACTTGTGCTAAAATTTCAAAATCAAAAGTTATGGAAACCAAGGTATCAAATTTTCTCAGACAAGATAGAAACAATTCCTACTTTTTGCTTTAAGAAATTTCCGTTGGGATTCTCAATACAACCTTCCACCTTATACGAGCCGATTAAAACTTATTAATCTTCCTACACTTTCCAGTCGTAGGCATTTTCTTGATACAATTTTTATAGTTAAATTACTAACAGGCTCAATTTCAAGTCCGCTTCTTCTTGGCGAAGTTAGCCTTAATGTTCCCTCCCGGGTATCCAGACACTTTTGCCCCCTATTTCTGAAAGCTTGTAAAACTAATTTTGAATTGCACGACCCACTCCGTTGCTTATGCCAGGATTTTAACTCTCATTCCAGGGCGTTTGATATATCAGATCCGCTATTCAGCATTAAGAAATCGATACTGTCCTCTCTCAATAAATGAATCATTAAAATAAAGACATAAAATCGGCTGATGAATTTAGTTCTGTAGCTGAACAGTTTTAGATCTCGACACTTAACAAACTCCTGCCTATCGTGACTCGGCGCAAAAATTGAAAATACTGGTTCCGTACGTCATGCGGACTGCGCCCCTCGTGCGGATGGGCGGGAATGGAGGGTAAAAACCGTTGGGATATTATTAAAACAAACTCTATGGGACTGAGAATTATTATTTTCTACTTTTTAGTCCATTTATAAAAGCGTTAAAAAGTTTTTTTTTTATTATTTATTTTCTAATTTTAGTCTTGTCTGTATTTAATTTTGCAATAGATATTAAAATAATTCAACGATATTAATAGATTGGTGCACACACATGCATATACATATGTATGTACATACATACGAGCACCAATCCATATAATGAATAAACTCAATTTATTTGTATATGGAAGAAATCCGCAACACCTTTGGCGAAAAAAATTCTAAAAAATCAACGGTAACTTTTAGCCACTTGAAACTTGCACATTATCAAACTAAAATTGAAGGTGCTAAAAAACTGTGCACTCAAAAAAATTCTTACACTTCCGAGAAAAAAGTTGGAAATTTAGGTGAAAATTTGTTGCACTTTTTTGTACCTTTCTACAAATTGTTACAATTGGGTTTTTATGGGGTTTGTCTGAGAATGAACTGTATTTTAATTGAAAATTCTTAAAAATAAATAAATAAACATAAGTGGCACACAATATCACTTTGAAATGGTGTGCTATAGATATGACCGATACCGTATGTGTGTACATTGCTTATTTTATTTGGTTTTTGTTTAATTTTATATACATTAATTGTTTTTTGCCTTTCTTTGTGTCTATATTTAAATCAGAAATTTGTTGCACTATTGTTCGATCATAAGAATATTCATATTGATTCTTCATTAGATGCAGAAAATTGTTGGAAAAAAGTTTTTGAATTAAAAGATTCTTCAGGTTCATATAAGTTTCCCAATTATTAATATAGCCCATTTCCTATGCTTCAGTATATACAGTTGGTACTCAGTTACATTAAATATCAAAAGTTAATGCATTAATTTTTTACATTACCATTAAAATACTAAGCATAAAAAAATTTGTGCATTTTTCACAACTCTGGGGTTTTGACTTTTAGCATGTGGTTACCGTCCTCTAACTCCCCTATACCCAACCCAGTTTTACCCGATCAGAAGTGCATTATATCAAAGTTTATCCTATATAACAATGTGGCAACACATCGATTTATTACCTAAGCTAAAAATTAATAAGACAGTTTTTAAAATTCTCACCTCATATCGACTTCGTTGAACGTGGTCAACATGGCGTTGGTGTTCTGAGCATCTTTTAAACGCGCGGCAATCTTTTGACGCATACGATTCATTTTTACGCGCTGTTCGGTACGGGTCCCGGTAATTTGACGGGAATAATCAGCTGGTGGCACCTTTACTTGTGGAGCAGCTTGTACAGGTGGAACAGAAGCAACCGGAATTTGTCCAGCAGCGGCTGCAGGTTTTGGTGGCGGCGGTGGCGGAACTGTTCTAGGTGCTTGAGGTGGTGGTGGGGGTCTAGCAGCCGGTGGTGGCGTAGAAGGAACAGCGGCTTTTGGCGGTGCTGCAGCAGCAGGTGTTGGTGAAGCTGGTTTTAATGGTGATGTAACAGCAGCTGCCGGAGCAGTTGGAGTACCTTCGGCTTTCTCTAATTTGAAAAGATCCTGACCTGCCTTCACTGTACTACCATCTTCCACTAAAATTTCGCGAATGATACCACCAAATGGCGCAGGCACTGGCATTGCCGTTTTGTCGGTCTCGACCTCCATAACAACTTGATCTTGAGCCACGTAGTCGCCAACCTTGACAGTAAATCTTAAAAATAATGTTATTTTATATTCGTCCAACTCATATATGTTAGCATTTTCTAATAGTTCGTTGATAAATATAAAAAAGTTGAACGGTAATTTTACCCACATAAAAGTGAAAGGACTAAGATATATAGGAAATTAATTTGAAAAAGAAAGAACTGATATCATATACTCATGAAAATATAGGAGAACAGTTAGTTTTCTTCATGATCCAATAATCGGAACTATACAAAATAAGTATGGGACCAGCTTTGAGGTACCACCTTTTCGAAAAAAAAGATTTTCGAAAACGGTTGACATGGTCCAAAGTGATCCAGTAAAAAAAAAATCCGACTAATTGCTTTTCTCCTCATTTTTTGTGGTATGTTAAAAATATGCAAACTTGGACTAAAACATTTTCTAAACCCTAAGCAGGAGGGCAAATTAAGTTCCGTTCTGGTATTTTCGTTTTGTCATCTTTTTCTGGTCGTGATCCGATTGCAGATAAGAAAAACGAACTTTTACGCTAGGTACAGTCTGATGACGTAACAAAAATTTCTTATCGCTTGTTATTGCGCTTGTGCAAAATGATCGCATATTCATACATATATACATATACACCTGGACATACGTTACATATTCTGCTAATCCCCGCTAGCCTCACAACTTCATATTCGCCAAATACACAAAAATTATTTTGGGTCCCCTGTTTCAATAACAGCCCAATCTATAAAGTTTATATTAAATAATAATAGAAACCCAGATTTAGCATTTTATCTTATTATTTATTGGCCGTTAGTGTTAAGCAATATTGCACATTTTTCGAGCTCAAGGCCACATGAAAATAAAACACAAATTTCAAGATTTTGCATTCGTTTTTGTTGTCGAAATTTCGACTTCCAACTCTGAACTCATCCTCAGGAACATCTTGCAATGTTTGACCGAATGAAGTTGAAATATCGGCAACTAAAACCTATAAAAATCTAAACATTTGTGTCTGATTTTCCTGTGGCCTTGAGCCCCAATATTCAATATATTTAGGAAGTTCAAATAAGACAACATTAAAAACGTTTGAAAAAATCTATTTTTTACTCTTTTGTTGAATTTCCAGACTATCTTATAGAGTATGAGTTAAATTTAAATTGTACAGATTTCTTCAGTTTTAACTAATGGTTGGTTTCTTTTTTTTTTTTGTTTTAAACCATCTACATTTAGATGGGTCATCAGAATGAAGAAAAATTGCTTTATCATAATGTCCTGTACATCAAGGGATTTCATAATGATTTAAAAGACTAAAATATGGGACCATCTCCTCAGTACAACTTTCAAGGGAATACAGGCAAATGGGAGGTTTTTTTTTTTAACTGCAATTAATTTCCCTATTATAAGTTAAACATTTTAACAATGAAGCTTGCATGCTATCATCCATTGAATACATATTCCTGAGTTTGGTAATAACGATATTAATTATTTAAAATTTTGCAAAGTGTTTATAAATATTACTCACTTAACATCGCCTTCGGCTACTGATTCAGGAAACGGTGGCGTTTTTATTGTTTCTATTGCCCACAAATTACTGGTTGTATGGAATCCTTGACCGCCAAAAGAAAGTATAGTTCTGTAGAAACTTTGCTAATTATTACCAAAAATATCAAAACCGATTTTTAAGACCTACCGTTGCGACGAGGAGAATACAGGCGGTAAGGATTCATTTCCAGTAGGGCAATGATTTTGTCCCCCTACTGCCGATCTTGAAAACTGACGTATTAGACATGATGCGCTAACCTAAAAGTGATAAAAAAGGTTTGTCTAAAGTCTACGCAAAGAAGTTGATTGCACAATAGAGCCATATCGTCACGAGCATCAGTAAGCATTTTCATGCACAAATTGACAGTTTGCAAACTTCTATTCGCTTTCGATTAAGTTTTCTTTACGTTACATAATTGTCATTTCCAAATACTTTGCTTTCACTTCGAACTGGTCTCACTACATGTTACCACACCCGCTGTTTTGACGCATCCTATAGATATTCATAAATATTTAAAAAAAAACTTCTTACTTCTTGACTACGCGCTGCCTGTATTCCCAGCTTAAGTAGGTCGCGGGGAAGACGCCGCATCGTTAACGATATTAATCCCGACATTACAATATTCTCTAAGTTAAAACAATATTTCTCAATGCCGAAAACTGTTATTTTCCACCCCGCACACTTCTCCCAAACGATCAAAGAACAGAAATTTTGCTCTGTGATAGAGTTGCAAAACTATCGATGGCATTATCGATAGTTTCGATGGTTTTTGACTATCGAAAACATCGATGGTTTTCTAAGTACTATCGATAGTTTTCACTCACACATAAATGCATCAGTTAAGCTGATGCCAGATAAAACTTTGTAGCTTTGCGTGACATTTATAACTTTGCTAGCAAAGCGCCAGACGCAAAAGGTATGCCACAATGAACGCCAAAAAATCAATTTTGCACTGCTTTTTTACTCGTCAAAATTGCTGTGGATTTTAGATATTTTGCTTTAAAATTATCAGCAATGTAATTGAGTTTTATGTTTCAGCATGAATACTCGAATTTGGACGAAACAAAATAAATATTAAACCGGCTGATTGTCAAAGCGCGCAAAAAGATGGGAGTTGGCCATCTTTTCGCTTCGCGCTGCAGCTTTAATGATCTATGTGGCATGCTTTGTGCATTTTCATACAATTCATCTTATGGGCTGTTCTTGCTTACGCGTAAAATCACATTTAGCGCATTTACCTCTAAATGCTACTCTAAATGTACATTTATCCATACAAAATTCGTCACCTAAATGCAACTAAATGCAACTCCATTTTTGCATTAAGAATCTAAATGCTAAAAGCAACCCTGTGATCTTCCAAAATTTCCACGATTCGAACATGGTTTAAAGAGAAAAAGTGGCCACATTGCTTTTTCGAGTATACAGTTGCTAGGTCCGTTTCAGTGATCGCCGATCGAGATTTCTTTTATTATGCATTACATATTTGGATAAAGTAAAGTTAAGCAAATTCAACATCGATTTGATGCCGATAGAAATCTGGATCAATTTGTGATCAACTCTGTTTGGTTTGTTTCCTAATTAAGTGAGGAAATTTTAATTGACAGCACCGACAAATGAATATATACACAAACAAATGTTCGGTTATGGTTAAAACAATTCAAGTTTTTGTATTGAATTTTTGGTTTAAAATTTATTTTTTCCTTTCCAGTAGGGTTTTTGCACATTATCTTCTGCGTGAGAATTGATCGTAATATATACGCATCTAAATAAAAGACTGGAACACGGCTGTTTGTCAAAAGCATTCGATTTCGAACTCGCGTAAATGTACATTTGCTAAATGCTATAGCATGAACGCTCTTCGAAAACTTGTGTTCGAAAGTGCTAAATGTTGCATTTTAAATGCAGCAAAAACGCTGCATTAGCTGTGAAAGCGAATCTGTCACGTCAAGCGAAGCAAACGTTTTATGTGGCATCAGCTTAACATCATGATGCAATAATACAAGGGCTGAATTTCTTTATTCATTCTGAACGTTTGGAATCAACTTTTTTGTTTACTTATTCTTTAGAACGTTCCTGATGATATGTTAACGTATATTTCAAACGCATTCTGTTTATTCCGGCTGTGAAATGGGATTATCCGGAATGTATAAAGAAACGCAGCCAAGGTGTTATCAGTTGGCAACTTCTCGCTCTAATTCCGCCATATTGACTGGCCTACGTGAAACAGTGTCACTTCTTTAACTATTCTTTGCCCATTAATATAGTTGAATGTTTTTTATTTTTTCTCAGTATACACCCTTTTTTTCTTAAAAAGGTATTTTATCTTATCTTATTTCATTTCATAACGAATACACTATAAAAACGCAAATTTTGTTTAAGAAAAAATGTGAAATTTTATATTTTTCCCTCATGTGGGGATTCATTTCTTCCCGTTTTTCTTCTCATTCTACTGAGCTAAGGCAGGGTCAAATCGAGCTGTCACAACTGACACCACCTTGTATGATTGCATCATGTATACTGTGGTATGTTTGTATGTACATTAGGAATGTTCGATATTTAAGAAAGTATCGATATCATGAATCGATTTAATTATTTGCATGTAAAATTGATATGGCGATATATCGGCCTGAACAATATCGATATCGGAAAAATCGATGTTGAAAATCCTACTCGTAATTGAATAGAATATTAGACCTGCCTATGAACTCACCTAGTTGTGTTATTTCCATCTTGCATATTTACTGATGATTAAAACGAAATGCCGGTCGACCGTATTGTTAAACAAGATAGAACAAGAACGGTGGCAACGAGTTAAGAGCCGTATATACCATGCAAGCGGTTTGCCAACCTTAAGAGCTTATTAAATCACACAAGCTGCTGGTTAAACCTACTTTAGCATTTTCTCATACATTTTTTTGTAGATGATAATATACATTTCGACTTAAATATCGATAATGAAGGCAAAGTATCGATGTCTTGGATAATCGACTTTGGAATATCGATTCAAAAAATCGATTATCGCACCATAAAATATCGATATTCCGCATATTCGATACCATATCGAACATTCCTAATATACATATGTTTTTGAGCGTACAATCGATAGTTTCTTTTCGATATGTAGCCCGTTCCCGTACTTCCCGATTTGCAGGATTTGAGGGTTTTGCAGGAACAGCTGTTTTCGCCTTTAATAAACCTTACGGCGCATATTCATAGTCATATTTAGTACTCAACTAAGTCGAAACTATTCTGAGTCACATCTAAAGCTATTCATAGTCGCCTTAGTTTCGACTTTTTTGGCTAAGTACCAACTTAATATTTAATTTCGGCTGCAGCTGCAACTAAGTCGTAACTAGGAAAAAGTATTTTATCAAATTAAGGGAAAACAGACGAAATATGTAAAAATTAAGTTGGTAGAGGGTGAATTTGATAATATTGAATAATCTCCATTTAAAATTTACAAAGATCGATCCATTTTAATCGGAGGATGAAATTAAATGCGTATTACAATTCGATAAAAGATAAAGATAAGAAGATTAGATAAATTCTCAAATAATAGGTCAGTTTCACGCTAGTTCTTTTAAAGTAAATTTGCGCATAACATTTAGATATCTACTACTTGTATGTTTCACAGCATGCTGCGATAAACATCGACTTCACATCACTGCGGTTGTTCTGGCTATTTCACACAATTAACAAGAAAATGATACCTTATTCTTTTGCATAATCATGCAAGGAAAATAAAAATTACATAAACGGATGATCAAACTTGACAATATTTAATAAAAATGTAATTTTTCCAAAATATCGTAAAGAAAAATCTATAAATTTTCACACTCGTTTTGGTATTACGTAAACTAGGTCGAAAGTACTTAGTAGAAGTCTGAAATGCGACTATGAATAGAGGAAAATTTTAAGTTGGTACTTAAATTTAAGTTGCAACTTTGTTAGTTTCGACTTAGTTGCTGGACTATGAACACGCGCCTATGTGAACGCGGCGTACGGGAACGACTTTGGACTAAATCCTGTAAAACCTGCAAATCGTAGACGTTCTCGAACGCACTAAGGGTCTGATTATGCATACTTCGCATAACTTCGCACAACCATTTGTACCAGTGCAATAAAAATGTAACTTAAGAAGATGTGAAGCAAAATCTAAACTCAACAAATCGCTAAGTTTTTAAAAGTTCTGCTAATTTCTGGGTAATGGAATACATACAAATTAGATACAAAGTACATACGAAATAACAGTTTGAAGTTTATGCGAAGTTGTGCGAAGTTATGCGAATTATGCATAGTCAGACCATAATGGTTAGTCATTTTTGGCAGGGGTGTAGAGCAGGGAAACTATAGATGATCGTGGCCATCGATAGTTCGGATAGTCGATAGTCTCAACCATCGATAGTATAGGTACTATAGAAAATGTCGACACTATCGATAGTTTTGATTAGAAAAGTCCAAAAATTAAACACAACAATTTTTATTGAAAATGGGATTAAGGCCGGTCCGCATAGAACATTCGCGTTGGTTTTGGCGTTGGCATTGGTTTGACAGAACGCACGGTAAAAGTATGCTTGCTGCAATGAACGCTTGGCAGCGAATGCTTTGAGCACTAGTTTTACATACTAACGACAGATAAATTAATATTTCATATCAATGTTTGCATTAAAAATGATATTTCTTAACTACATTTGATTAAAAATTAAAAATATTTCATATATTATGAGAGTTCCCATCTTTTTGTGTGCGTTTTTGCTTACGCGTAAATGTACATTTAGCGCATTTAGCTCTAAATGCTACTCTAAATGTACATTTATCCATACAAAATTCGTCATCTAAATGCAACTAAATGCAACTCAATCTTTGCATTTAAAATCTAAATGCTAAAAGCATCCCTGTGATCTTCCAAAATTTCCACGATTCGAACATGGTTTAATGAGAAAAAGTGGCAACATTGCTTTTTCGAGTATACAACCGCTAGCTGCGTTTCAGTGATCGCCGATCGAGATTTCATTTATTATTTTACATTATTTGGATAAAGAAAAGTTACGCAAATTCAACATCGATATGATGCTGATAGAAATCTGGATTAATTTGTGATCAACTCTGTTTGTTTTGTTTCCTAATTAGGTGTGGAAAATATAATTGGCAGCACCGACAAATGAATATATACACAAACAAATGTTCGGTTATGGTTAAAACAATTCAGGTTTTTGTATTGAATTTTCGGTTTAGAATTTATTTTTCCTTTTCAGTAGGGGTTTTTGCACATTATCTTTTCCGTGAGAATTTATCGTAATGGATACGGATCTGAATAAGCGACTGGAACACGGCTGTTTGTCAAAAGCATACGATTTCGAACTCGCGTAAATGTACATTTGCTAAATGCGATAGCATGAACGCTCTTCGAAAACATATGTTCGAAAGTGCTAAATGTTGCATTTTAAATGCAGCAAAAACGCTGCATTAACCTTGGCGTTGGCGTTGCCGTTGATATGTGGGCATGCCCATATAATTGTGTGTATTCATAGTCAGCTGTTAATCAACGCCAACGCCCCAAAGTTCAAGTGGACCGGCCTTTAGAGTTGGTAAAATGTGTCCATATTATTGTTATGGAATAAAAGTTTATCAACTATTTTTGGGTTCAAGCAGTATCTGCGCTCCGAAATATGCATGTTAAAGCTTAAACAGACGGCAGCGTTGATCCGGACTAACTCGGACTTAATCCGGATCAACTGCAGTTAATTCCCGAGTTGATCCGGATCAACGCTGCCGTCTGTTTACGCTTTTACTCATGAACCAAAAATACAAGATCACCTTATCAAAGCAAGAAAAAAATATATTTCAGAGCGTTTTTGACATCTGCCTAAGAATGAAAACAAACAAAGAAAACGAAAAAGGCGCGGTGATTGAGTGCGATTAAACTGGTATTTATTATAAAATATACAAGATGAAACTTGATGACAATTTTCAAAAAAAGTTCATAAAATATGGTTTTTATGATTGAAAGTGTTACGTGCACCCACTTTCCACGCAAATTTACGCCTTTTGGCAAACCAAACATACGCAGAAACTTGTTCCAATAACACAGCACTTCATTTTATATCATAAATATGTAATAAACCAAAATTTATAATTAAAATCGCTGCACAAATAACAGAATTCGGCAGAGCTTAACGCAGAATAAAATACAATTATGCACAAATAAAAAGAAAAACGTAAAAGGTTTTGACTTTAAGTATTCGATTCATCGGAAATAATCGCTTTAATACTATTGAATCTATAAACAGTTAGCTGGGAGTTGAAAAATGACGTTTTATACCAAAGAAAAAAAGAGTTACCAACTTAACATGATTTTGTTTAAGACAATGTTAAAACTCAACACTCCCACACTCATTGTTTACAAAACAAAATATGAAATTAAATGAACAAAACAAGGCGAATTAATATAAATTGAAATTCAAAATGTCAATTCCATTAAGTCACACAAATATTTATGACAATTCTTGTCCAAAGCTTTCGTGAATATGTCCGCAACCTGTTCATCGGTGTTCACATACTCTAATTTGAATTGACCATCCTGGAATTTCTCTCTGATGAAATGGTATTGAACGTCAATGTGCTTGGTCATCTTGTGGAAAACTGGACTCTTAATCAAACGGATTGCGCTCTGATTGTCCATGTAAAACGTTGTAGACAAATTCGATTCACACAGTAAACAAGCAAGCAAACCCTTCAACCACACCAGTTCTTTAATTGCTTGGCATGCTGCCACGTATTCTGATTCGGTCGATGATGTCGAGACCGATTGTTGCCTGACTGATGCCCAACTGATAACACCTGAACCAATGTGAAAAACATAACCACTCGTTGAACGCCTCGTTTCACTGTCTCCCGCATAGTCGGCATCGCTATAACCAACCAAATTTAGTTGATCATCACTTTTGTAAATGATACCCAAGACCGTTGTTCCCTTTATGTATTTGAGAATGCGTTTCACAGCGTTGACATGCGCTGAGCTTGGTTGCTCTAAATATCGGCTGACAACCCCAACCGCATAGCTTATATCTGGCCATGTACCTATTGCCAGATACATTAGACTTCCAACTGCTTCACGAAATGGATATGCTGCATTATGCTCATCATTCACAAAGTCACCCAAATTTTGATTTCTGTCTATGGGAGTTGAAACAGCCTTGCATTCAGTCATATTGAAACGACTCAACACTTTCTTAGCATAGGCTTGTTGATGAATGCGAATTGAGCCATCTTGACGTTGATCAATTTCGAGACCCAAAAAACATTTTGCTTCAATTACTTTTACCTCGAAATTTGTTTGCAAATATGAAATAATACAATTGATTTCATTTTCATTGTTGGTTGCCATCAATCCGTCATCAACGTATATTGCGATAATCGTAAATATGTCTTTGATACGACGCCCAAACACACACGAATCTGATTCACTTTGCTTGAAATCAAACTTGCGGATGAATGATGTAAATTGTTCGTTCCAACATCTCGATGCTTGTTTCAGACCGTATAAACTTTTAATCAATTTGCACACGCGCCCACTGCCATCATCATACCCAATCGGTTGTTTCATAAAAATATCTTCCTCAAATCACCATATAAAAATGCAGTTTTGATGTCGAATTGCTTGAGCTGCATTTTATTCATTGCTGTTAACGCAAATATTGCACGTATCGATGTGAACTTTACCACCGGGCTAAACGTTTATTCGTAATCCACACCATACTGTTGTGTGAATCCTCGAATCACCAGGCGTGCTTTATATTGCTCAATTGAATCATCGGTATTCTTTTTGATTTTAAACACCCAGCGATTATCAATCACCTTTTGACCCTCAGGTGGATCAACCAATTCCCATGTACAGTTTTTAATCAGTGAATTAAACTCGTCGTCCATTGCGCACTTCCACTCTTGTGCATTTGTTGAGTTTATCGCTTCTGCGTATGTTTTCGGCTCAACAACAGGTGCTAAGTAGCCAGTTTCAATTAACCGACTCAGGCGGTTCACATGTTGTCGCAGACTGTAACGTTGATCGCTTTGCTGAGATTTATCTTGTTCTTGGGAACTTTTACTTGGGTCAACCTTTGTTTTATTTGAAGCAACTTCATCTTCGCTGTCGGTTTCGTCCTGAATAACAAACTTCTTTGTTTCTGATTCATTGAAACGAACATTGCAACTGAGAAACGTTTTTCCTTTGTGTGGGTCATATAGCCGGAAATTCTTGCTTGTGGGCTCAAATCCCACCAAAAAAACCTTCTTCGCTTTCGGATCCCACTTCTTTCGATTCAATTGCTTTGGAATATGTACATAACATTCGGTTCCGAAAATTTTTATGTGGCCCAAGTATGGTTTCCGGTTTAACAAATAGGTTGCTGTACGGACTGCTTCTGGCCACAAATACTTCGGTAAACCACTTGCAATAAGCATTGTTCTTGCGCTTTCTACAATCGTTCGATTCTCACGTTCGATTCGGCCATTTTGCTCTGGGGTGTATGGTGCAATATACTCAATCTGCACACCCTCGCCTTTTAATAAATTTTTGACCTTTTAATTGATGAACTCTGTTCCATTATCAAAACGGAAATGCTTGATTTGAGAACCATTCGACCTTTGGACCATGGAAATGAACGAACCTAGGCATCCATGTACTTCATCCTTGGATTTTAACAAATATGTAAAACGAAATGTTGTTGCTTCGTCCTTAATCAATAAAAAATAACGAATACCACCAATACCAGCTTCTTCCATGGGCCCACATAAATCTGCGTGCATATATTCTCCAGCAACCGATCATCGTCCGACTGATTCTTTGTATGTTGCTCTTGTCATCTTTCCGTATTGACAATCTTCACAAAAAAAACTTTCATCGTTTAACAGGTTAACACCCGTAATCAAACCATCTCTGCACATCTTCTTAATTGAATCAAGGTGAAGTGAGGCAGCTGCTACATTTGCACATTCGTCTATGCGCAAGCGAAAATCCATTATGATTTGTCTCACCTCATTACGTTTACCAACCGCAACAGTATTGTTTTCGCTGTCAAGTACTTTGCAGCCATCCTTTTCGAGCATAACTTGAAAACCTTTGTCAGTCTTAACAACAGTAGAAAACAAATTTTCACCAAGATCTCGCACATACAATACATTTTCAAGACGACGCTGCTCCCACTGATTGTTAACTCATGAATCAATAAGAACTGTACCAATGCCTCGTATTTCGACATGACGGCGATCGGCCAACTTCACTTGACCGCCATATTCTCTCAATTCCGAGAACCATTCACGACGATAAGTCATATGACTCGTTGCACCCGAATCAACACACCAATAGTTGGATTTTGAATCGTCGTATTTGTTTGCACGCACAACCGTAGACCATGCTAACTCATCTCTGTCTTTCAAACTTTTATTGTCTTTGCTACTTGCACGTTTTTTGCTTTTATTTATACTGGATGAATTTTTAGACTTTGGACATTTTTTATCTTTCGCCCAATGCCCTATTTGACCGCAAGCGTTGCATTTGGTTTTCCTTTTCAACTCATCGATACTTGGCTTTGATTCACTTTTGAATTCATTTCGTTTAAACTTCGCAGCAAAAGCAGCATCTTCTGTTGCACATTGTTCATCATTTATTCGCTTCAAATGAAGACATCGGTGTATCAATCGTACGAGATTCTTTTGTGTTGTACCAGACAGTTTTGTAATTGTTAAATTTAACCGGCAAACAATTGATGATGCGCACCATCTTTAACTTTTCGGACAATTTTTCTCCTTGCTTTTCAATTTCAGATGCTAACTGATTTGCTTTGGCTACATACCCGGCCACTGATTCATCTTTTTTCATTTTTAGTGAAAAATATTCTTCATACAAGGTCATAACGCGGATTTCTGAGATCTTTTCATAAACACTGTTTAATTTGATCATCATGTCCTTTGTTGTTTTACATGCCAGCACGAGGTTCGCATGTTCTGAATCCAGTGATTGAAAAATAGCATTCATGGCCCTTCCTTCATTTCGCTCAAAAGCATTTTTTGCATCTGCAGAAGCATCAGCTTCAGGTCTATTTCCTTCGATATTATCGGTTAAGCCACGCGCTTTCATGAACGCAGCTATTTGGAATTTCCATAACCGATAATTTGTACTATTTAATATGTGACCGCTGAAATTATTATCATCTTTTTTATTTCCGAACGAATCCATTTTAAAATGATTTGACACGACGACGCTTTTTATTCAGCTCGTGTCCACATGTACGCTACGACGAGACGGCTAATAGAATTCGGCAACGTAACTAAGTGCTTTTGGAATACAAAGTTCTCAATTTATTTGTCGGAAGCTTCAGGGGCCTATAGCCTAACAGAGCTTAACGCAGAATAAAATACAATTATGCACAAATAAAAAGAAAAACGCAAAAGGCCCGTCCACATACAACTTTGGCGTTGCGTTGGCGCTGGCGTCGCTTTGACAGCAGCGCGAGTAACGCCCGTGCTTGCTACAATGAACGCTTAGCACAGTATACTTTGGTCACTAAATGAACATACTAGCGGCTGATAAATCAAAATTTTTACATCAATAATTGCATTAAAAACTATATTTCTTGTCCGCATTTGATTAAAAATAAAAATTAAATCACATAATTTTGATTATTTAGAACAGCTGACGAACGACGCGCGCGAAAAGTTGAGAGTTGGCCATCTTTCTGCGTTGTGTTGGCGTTGGCGTTGCCCAACTTTGGTTATATGGAGACTTTCATATAAATGCATGTATTCATAGTCAGCTGTCGAAGCGACGCCAACGCCAACGCAACGCCAAAGTTGTATGTAAACGGGCCTAAAAGGTTTTGACTTTAAGTATTCGCTTCTTCGGAAATAATCGCTTTAAAAATGACGTTTTATACCAAAGAAAAAAAGAGTTACCAACTTAACATGATTTTGTTTAAGACAATGTTAAAACTCAACAAGAAAACACATTCAGTCGCTAAAAAATCACTACGAAGAGGTAGCAGACGGTGTAAACAAAACCGAAAAACGGCGAAAACGCTACGAAAACTTTTTTCTGAAAATCGATTACAAATACAACGATGGCTGATTAGGTGATCTGTAGTCGTTGGTTCATGCATGTTACTCATGATGCAATAATACAAGGTGGTATCAGTTGTGACAGCTCGATTTTACACTGCCTTAGCTCAGTAGAATGAGAAGAAAAACGGGAAGAAATGAATCCCCATATGGGGGGAAAATATAAAATTTCCCATTTTCTCTTAAACAAAATTTGCTTTTTTATAGTGTATTCGTTATGAAATGAAATAAAATAAGATAAAATACCTTTTTAAGAAAACAAAGTGTGTATACTGAGAAAAAATAAAAAACATTCAACTATATTAATGGGCAGAGAATAGTTAAAGAAGTAGCACTGTTCCACGTCAATATGGCGGAATTAGAGCGAGAAGTTGCCAACTGATAACACCTTGTATTATTGCATCATGCACAGTATTATACAGCAATAAACCTCTTCGCAGGTTTTTACCAATTGGTCCCCGAGGAGTACTTTTGGGTTGTATGCAGCGTTTTCGTTTTACGCGCACGCCAACACCTACTGTGGGGAATTTCGCCTCATGATTAGAAAAAGGTCCTTTCGAGGATAAAATATATATAACTGTGTTATTTATGAACAAAATGTAGGTTAAGTACAGTATCAATTACCATGTTTATACGTAAGCTATTTGCAAGTAAAAATAATTTGCAAATACCTAACTGACCGTTTATTTTTTATTTAATATTGCCTGATTATAAAAAGGCAATAATATGACCATCGAAAAAGAAATTAAAGTTAAAAATGGCAACGTTTTGATTATAAAAAGGCAATAAGATGACCATCTAAAAAGAAAATAAACCTAAGAATGGCGGCGTCTTGAGCTTATTTGCAAATAGTATCACTAATCGATACTTATTTGCGTCATTTAGTTATTTGCAAATAAAAAACTAACTCAGCGTTTAAACGGCAAAGTTTACCATTTTGCAAATTGTTATTTGCAAATAATACGCGCGTCAAAACGTAGTAAATATTTAATTAAGAATATTATCAATATCACGTCGTATTTATATTAAAAAAACGTGAAATTTGTGAATTTATCACGGAAAACTCTAAATTTTCGAATATATTGAAGTATTTATTCCAAAACAAAAAAAGGTTTGCTTAGTTATAGAGACTTTAATGCCTACCAGCGCATCCGCCCAGACAGCTCATTAAGCACACCCAAGTTTGGGCGGAACTCGTCAAAAATACTTAACATCAAAGTATAGAATGTCACAAAAATGAATCATACACAAATACAATAGCAATTGCTATAAGTTGCTACCGTATTGTTACGATTATCCTCGAAACCTTGAGGGATTTCTCAAATATTCTAGAGCTCTTATCGCTGGTTTGTTGAATAAATTCTAACGATGACCAAATTGTAGTACAATTAACTTTATTGTACAACAAACAATTTACAATACTTGCTAATACAGTAAAAACACTTTACAATACTTGTTAAAGCAATAACAACGCTTTACTGAACTTGTTAACACAATTAAACTTATAACTTGCTTGTTCGCAACTCACTTCTCTGCTCACTTTACTCGTAGCTTGCTGACTTGTAACTAACTTACCTCGCTGTGGCGGCGCCCTTATATACCTGCGCTGGCACTTATGGCAACTCTAGAACATTCTGAAGTTTATCGCTCATTCTCTTTCTCTCGCGTTTCGCAGTGTTCATCCAACTTGACGTTTCTCTTTGCGGAACATTCTACGTCATTCCTCGAACATTCTGCCTATTCTACGTCATTCCTCGAACATTCTGCCTATTTCTCGTTGTTCGCTTTGTGTTGCCGCAGTATTCGCCACACTGCCCTCCACCTAAGTCTGATCGTCCCGATCAGACACACTTGCCGCTCCAACCGCTGCAAGTCTTTCCAAGTGGACCACTTTCATCTTGGTCCTCGGTCTCCCCATTGTGTGGATTCGATGCACTGCGTCCTTCAGCCGTTTGTCAATCCTATACAGACCTATCCAGTTACGATGTTGTTCGGAGGTGAAGCCTTTCTTCGGCTGCGGCATGTGCAACAACACCGAATCACCGTCCTGTAGCTCCTCTCGGCTCGATGCGTTACTGGACATTGCTTCCAGCTTATCTCCGGTGGTGCACCATCTCACATGGTCGTGCTTCTGCCGGCCACTGGTGGTGACCAGACCATGTCTCTTCTCATGGTCACCCTTTTCGCCAGATCTATGCCGCATCATCTGTCCATGACACCCAGACTCCCGCCTTCGTGCTGCACTGCCTTTAGCACATCTTGCTACATCCGGATCCTTACCCTGAAATTTCCGCCGTCGTTTCGTATCTCGCTCTTCTGCCGATGCTAACTTCATTGACCGGACATGTATAATCTCAACCTTGGCTTCCGGCTTAACTGCTCACCTTTTCCGAACACCTTTTTCGGTACACTTCAAAGCGCGCCTACTGCTTTCACAGCCGCTTCCATTTCCGGCCACCGGCGTATCACCATTGCAACGTGGTTCAGTGGCTTTCCTCCTGCCGGAAACACTGCCTGGCTCGCCATGACCACTTCCTTGTTGCGACCTCTTCTTCACTGGGCTGGCGGAACCGTCACGCTTTTCCTGTATCGCTTCCTTCTCCAGACGAAACCACTCCGTCTCCATCACTGCTAACCTCCGCCCAACTAATCGCTCCCGTTTCTGGTGGAATCTTCGACATTTCCTCTAAGGCTAACCGTCTGCTGCAGCACTGGCTGTCGTAACCAACCCTAAGTGGCACTTTCCTGTGACGATCTGTCAGGATCATTCTCTGGCGGTCAATCTTCATGCCTTGGCCAAGTAAGAAATCCACGCCGATGATGACTTCATCCACAATGTCTGCCACTATAAACTTAGTGTACGAGGCCACATCGTCGATTATTACCTCGCATGGTACTTCTCCTAACACTTGGGTGCGTTCACTAGTTGCAGTCTGCAGCTTTGCTCCAGGTAGTGGCTTCACATAAAAAGTAGTCACATCAGGTCGAATAATATAATGTGACGCTCCAGTATCCACTGTCAGCACTCGCTCCTGCCCATTCACACATCCACCAAAAGTGAGGTTGCTCGTATTCCGGCCAATTTGTGAGATGGAGATTATTGGCCCTTCAACTTCTGGAGCCAGCACGCGGCCCTTTCTGCTGGCTCGTTTTAGTTTAACGACTGATTGGAGTTGGCTTCGTCTCCTTCAGCCCTGCGTTTGCGTCCTGCTGAATTGTTGAGCGCACTGGAACTTGCGCTGCAATCGCGGGCGAAGTGGCTTGGCTTTCCACATTTAAAACATTTGTCAGAGCCATGCTTTTTCTCGCCCCGCAGTTGGATAATCTTCTTCAGCATTTCATTTGTCTCGTCCGGTGTTTCCACTTCCACGCGATGTGCTTTGTAGGCTGGTCTACTTAGGAGCGCCGCCGTTTCACGCGCCTGAGCATACGAGACAGTTTCAGCAAATGTTGGCTTTGGATTCGCGTACGTCTCTCGCTTGGTATACACGTCCCGCATTCCGTTGATGAACCTCTGGATTTTTACTCTTTCAAGGTGCTCACCAGATGTGTCTCCAATTGCCAAATGAGCCAGCCTTTCAATCTCAGAGGCGAATTCCTGTAAAGTCTCGTTGGATTTCTGGCAGCGATTCTCCAGCTCCATCTGGTAAATCTGTCTCCTGTGCTCGCTACCATAACGTCTTTCCACTGCACCCATTAGCGCATCGTAATTGTTCCTTTCACAGTCGGGAATAGTCTGCAAAATTTCCGCTGCAGGTCCTTTCAATGCGACGAATAACGCAGCGGATTTATCCTCCATGCTCCAATGATTTGCTGTAGCTGTCTTCTCAAACTGGAGCTTAAAGACCTGGAAAAGAATAGTGCCATCAAAGGATGGAGTCTTTACCTTGGGAGCGTTCGTCGAATTAGCTGGACGACTCAACTGCAAACCCCGGAGACGATCTTCAAGCTCATCCACCTTAGCTTCGACTTTGTCCTGTTTTTCCTTAATAAGCGCTTCGATTTTATCTTGTCGTTCCTCGATTTTATCCTGTCTCTCTCTGAGTTCCGAATTATTTTTGAATAAATTCTCTTGAAGCTGAGTAATCTTTTCATCTAACTGCGATGACATGCGTGTTTCCTGCACTTGCAGCTGGGATGATATCTGTGATATGGCACCCAATAACATGTTCATGTCTATAGCCGTTGACGCACAAGGAGCCTTTCCCTGCTCTTCAAGCTTCGCTGATGTCTGCTCCACATCATTCGATGAACCAGCAACCTCTTCCTTGTCTTTGTCATTCAAGGATGCCTCGTCATCCTCACGATGGAAGTCGTGTTTGTCAACGTCGATGCCTTCCTTTTCCATTGCCTCTCGCAACCGTGATAGCAACTCCACTTTTCTTCCGGAGGTTGCTAAATTTCGTTTCTCCAACTCCTGCTTGAGTTCCTCAATCTTTAGATCCTGAAATGTTTGCCATTTTCAGTAGTTTATCCTTCGGGATTTATTTAACAATCCCACTTCTGACACCAATTGTTACGATTATCCTCGAAACCTTGAGGGATTTCCCAAATATTCTAGAGCTCGTATCGCTGGATTGTTAAATAAATGCTAACGATGACCAAATTGTAGTACAATTAACTTTATTGTACAACAAACAATTTACAATACTTGCTAATACAGTAAAAACACTTTACAATACTTGTTAAAGCAATAACAACGCTTTACTGAACTTGTTAACACAACTAAACTTATAACTTGCTTGTTCGCAACTCACTTCTCTGCTCACTTTACTCGTAGATTGCTGACTTGTAACTAACTCACCTCGCTGTGGCGGCGCCCTTATATACCTGCGCTGGCACTCTAGAACATTCTGAAGTTTATCGCTCATTCTCTTTCTCTCGCTGTTCGCAGTGTTCATCCAACTTGACGTTTCTCTTTGTGGAACATTCTACGTCATTCCTCGAACATTCTGCCTATTTCTCGTTGTTCGCTTTGTGTTGCCGCAGTATTCGCCACAGTATAAATTCAACACACGCATGCGGTTGGAGACTGCGTTGGTTATGGTGGGCATAAGTTCAGCCAACACATTCAATGGTCCATTACCCGGAGCTGCTCCAATATGAAGAGTAGATTTTAGTGAGCCGCACAAGCCACTGCCTCTGGTTACAAACTGGATATCTTTTTAAAATAATAAGAAAAGTGTTTGTTTACAAAATTACCTGTGCCCTCTGCCTTAGTACGGTTGTTGCTCCCTTTCATACCACAGTAATTTTGTATGCAACTCTGAATCAGCAAAATTCATGCTCCTTCTCATTATCAACCCTGATCACATTTTACCATCGAGGAGTACTCAAAAATGTTTATTACTGTATATACTGTGATACATACATCAAATTTTACTTCGTTATGAACAATTGTTAGCTGTGGTGCCAAATATAGAAGAATTCGGTGAATTTAAAGAAACAATTAATAAAAATCTGTGTATTTAATTTGTAAATAAAAAAATGTGCAAAAAAACTTTTTTTCATCTATGTGGATAGAGAAGAATAAATTTGAGGCCAGTGTGTTTGGGCCGACTGTGGAGGCAGTGACCACAGTGCTGAAATACAATAGTTGCGTTCCAGATGCTTCAATAGGGTTTATTAATGGAGAAAGCAGCGACGAAAATTCAGACCCTGATGTAAAATTAGAAGAATTGTCTGAGCTCAGGAGCTCTGAAAAAGCTTGAGAAATAAAGTTAATATTCGACAACATATTTTTACAAATAAAAATAAAAACACATAAACAAAATCAAATTGCATTTTTTAATTTGGTTTCATGTATTTTTGGATATCTCGCTGTCATCTATTCACTTATTGACAAGTATTTAGAAGTTAGAATAGTGGTCATAAAAATCACTATTTATCGTTTCCCAATGGTTTCATCGCTAAATTCAGTTGTACATCACCAACTAGATGACATGTATGAGCGAGTGAACATACTGTAAGGCAAATGCGCCCATGTGTGTGCAAGAAAAAAGGTGTTCGCACGAGGCAATTTTGCGTTCAACTCGCGCAGGGTTGCACGAAAAAAAAGTTGAATGGCTAAATCTTGGCTGGCGACCAACTTTGTTAAAAGCGATTAGTTGAAAGGCCGTTCAAGCAAAAGCAGAATGTAAAGTTGAACAATGCAAACGCCTTTTTATGGCGAATATTTTGATATATTTTTATATTTTTAGCCATTAAATTTTTTTCGTGCAACCCTGCGTGAGTTGAACGCAAAAGTTGCCTGAAAAATCGCCTCGAGCGAAAGCTCGAAAAGGGATACACTATCACAGTGGTAACTTTTTCCCCCAAGCCCATACAAAACTAACCGCTAAACTGACGAAAAGTTTTAGTCAGTTTTCCCACTAATTTAACCGATAATCATAGGTCATGGCACAATAACTTGTGTTTTCGTCCATGTAAAATCTGTCAAACGAAAACCAGTTTTCGCTGAAAACTACTTGAAAACTCACGTTCCACTCATTCCAATCGGTGTCTTCACTAGTTTTTTTCGATTATTTATCGAAGTGGAAGTCATATTTTATCATCTTTAATACGCTATTTCGGATTTATTGTTAATTGGCTGGCAAAGGTAAAATGATGAAAAGAAAAATGAGGGAAAAGCATTTTGGTTTTGGTTTTTGTGTAGCAAAACTGTAATCAGAGGACGTAAGAAATGTCAACGAAAACACGTAACAGCCGGTGTGAACAGTCTTCAGCCCACAATCCCAAAACACGTTTTCAAAGTGTTTTCGTTGTCGGTCAGAACATGGTATTAAAAATTCACGCTATATATTAAAACTAGTTTTTTACTATTAATTCATTTTAGTTTAGTTTAAAGATCAGATAGAGGTTATTGCAATTCGAATTATAACTATTTATAGAAAAAAGTTTGCTGATTGGGGGTTTTGCAGAATAATCAAAATATCGGTTCTTTAGATTTAAATACTATGTTAAACTAAGTTTTTAACACAGAAATCATTGGTGTGCAAACTTGTTCCTTTCTATTCCGCGTGCCCAGGTAACCACATAATTTTAATGGTGTTTTTGCGTCGAAATAGTATTTCACGTGATTTCGAAATTATATGAGGGTCATTAGCAGAGTTAAAAAGGCTTCGATTGCTGATTTACTGTCCGTGCACATGAGGAAATTTCCTTCGTTTCTAGAGGCGAAAACGTACAGCTTCTAGCAATGCAGCTGATTCGGCTGTAAATGCCGAGGAGTACGCGGGAAAAGCACCTGTGAGAATTGTAACACCTAGCCCTTTTGTTACCGCCAAAAAACAGCCTGTGTCATATCTGGAACCGTCTGTGAAAATAAGCTCCCAGGTCATTTAGAGCTGGAACTGGGCAAATGCCCTTGCGGTAGAATTTTTACTTTAGTAAGCGTCGGCGTAGATATGATTTCCAAATATTTAATGTAGCTTAATATACGAAATAAAGCTGATTCCTTGCTACATCGGTTTTTTTGTTGAAAGTAGGATCCGACGTGAGAGATAGCTTTTATTGGCGAGGTTGGAAATGCACAGGTGCTTCTTCTCCTCTTCTGCATGGTTTCTAGCAATTTAAGATGTTTTTTTTGCGCTGTGTCCCAAAATTACGAGTCCAAAGTCAAATTTTCCTAAAATAAGAGCCCTAGTATGTTAGAGGCAATTATTTTTACTTGGGTCAAGGCCTTGGTCTTGGAATAAATTCAAATATCATCAGCGTAAGCAAGATGATCTACGTGCGTGTTCACCGATGTAATGGAGCTAACTTTCCCAAAGGCGATATTGAATACAATAACCGAAAGTGGTGATCCTTGTGGGGCATCATTAAAGAGAGGAACAGATTTTGAATAACAGTTATTGACCCGTATAGCAAACTTCCGGTTATAAAGGAAAGTCTTGATAACATTGTACATCCTCTCACCAATTTTCCAAGGCTTTAGTTATAGCAGAATAATATGGGAACCTATTCTGTCATAAGCCTTCTCAAAATCAAAACTTAGAACTGATACAAGATATTTTGATGCAAGAGCCGTAGAGGAAAAGTGATCAAAAATGAACAGAGGGTCCATAACACTTAAGCCCTTTTGGAATGCGAATTGGTGCGAATTCGTTAAGTCATTTTGTTCTTCAAACCACCTTTTTGAAATAATTTTTTCTAATACTTAAGATATGCAGGAGAGGAGGGGAAATGGGTGTGTAGTTAGAAATAAAAGAATTGTTTATATTTAATTTGGCAATAGAAATAATAAGAGCAGTTTTCCACTCTTGATAATATAACCCTTGAGATAGAATGTAGTCATGGAGTTAAAAGACAATGGCAGTAGTCATAGAGAATTTAGAAAAAGGTTTTAACGATTAAAATTGTGTTTTATTGTAATCACCATTTTAACTTTTTCAAATTCAACTTAAAACGCATTTTATGGCAAAAACAGAATTTTAACTTTAAAATGAGGAGAACGCGGTTTTAAAATGGTAAAACAAGGTTCCAAGTTTTGTTTTGTTGTTGAAGCTGTAAACGCAATAGCACCCAGGTTCGGTCCCACTCTGAGCGATTCCAAACAATTTTTTTTTTATTTTAACATAAACATTTATTTTTATTATCTTTTTTTGTTTATGGTATTTCATATAATTATTTCGTTATTAATAAAATTTTTTTGAGTTTAATTTTAATTTAAAAGGCCACAACAACTATAATTAAATAACAAAAATTTAAATAATATTTAAAAGAACAAAAAAAGATGTAAAAAAATGTTCCCTGGCAGTGGGACTCGTACCCACAACTTCCCGGCTTGATAAATCCGCAATCCTGCAGCGGACATAGGTTGAACTAATTAAAGTACTCATATTTGTATATATTGCCGGGTAAATTTATTATCTTCATTTGGATAGCACTGTTCCCTCTCATCTTAACCAAAAGCTGTTTCTAAGATTTCTATGATTAACAAACCTTAAAACTCTATTCTGAACTTAAAACTGTATTTTAACAAGAATGAGTTTTAATTTGCGACTAATAGCGATTCTACAATAGCGCAGTGGCA